CATAGACGGCATTGTAGATGCTGTAGCTTTGGCTGGTCATTTGCATTTCAAAAAGAGCCCCAGGAAGGCTCTCCAGCTTCTCCTCACCAGTGCAGGATTCCTCCTCCGTCTCCACATCTAGAAACTGGCAATCAAATGCCTGTTGCCAGAAGAAGCTGATAAAGCCATCGGTCTCAGAGTGGGGAATTAGGTTCAAGAGGAAAGGGTGGAACCCGTCAACCTCACGGGAATGAATGGCCAAAGATAAGGCACCATGGAAGTTTTGTATATCTAGATCTCTTTGAAATGTTTCTGATGAGAAATCAAAAAGGGCAGTCAGAACCCAGACCTTGTTTATTGGCCCCACATCAGACATTGATGCCGCTATCAGCAACCACTGCAAACACTTCATGGTGGAAGTGTCTGCATTTACAACAAACACATTGACATTGGTTTTGCTCAGGGAAATGGCCATAACTTGATATTTCTCTACCATCGCAAACACATTGAAAAATTTACTGGCATTTGGCATTCTTTCGATGATGGCTGCACAGATTTCATTCAGGAAAAGCAGGGGTGCCAATGTCTTCACAAACATTTCTCCTTTGTTGTCAGCTGTGACAAAGATCCCAACCCATACCCATTGGAAATACAGAAGAAGTCGGACAATCCCATTGTATTGATCTGCTTCATTGGGCGCCATCTGGTATAAGGAAGAAAGATGCTTTTTTTCACCCACTGCTTCAGAAAATAAAGAATAGGTGACCTAGACAGGAAGAATGTAAAAATAATAATAATCACCTTGTAGGATATTTGTTTGTGCTTAAATATTCAAACACATACTTAATTTCAGCAGGGTACACCAGAGAGACAGATGAAAAGAGTGGGGAGAGATCATTTAAAGAACTTTATAAATTAAAGAACTAGTGCTAAAGGGTGCTTGAGAACACTGTCCTGCAGCTTAAGGGACTCCTTCCTTCATACTAACCCCACTTAGTGTTCTGCTAAGAAAATGAATATTTAGGTTTTCTATAGTGAAGGCAGTACTACTGAGATCAGAGTAATGAAATAGGCTTGCATTGCAGGTGAATGTTCAGTGAGCTCAGGACCTGTAGGCTCAACCTAATGATAATCCTGTTCCTAAGATGCTCTGTTGAACCTGCCAAAACTGACGAGAAGTAGGTTAGGCAGACACATGGTGGTTGGCCCAGGGGCGCCCAAAGAGTTTCATTTAGTTCTAAAGCTAACACTCTTTCTACTCCATCAGTCCTCACACTGAACTATCACATAAATTAAAACCTCATACACAATATTGAAATGGGATTAACTGAAGCAATTGAAACAAATGTCTCAATTGCTCTCCCTGCTTTTGTCAGTAGCTTTTCTGAGACACCAAATTGCAAAATTTAGTGGCCCATTATCCTATTTGCTGTAACTGGTGACTCATCTCTACATCACAGGCTGTGGACATGAGGTACAGTAAATGGGTTGAACTAGGGTACAAAACTTTATCACTTGGGCTCATGCGTCGTTAACCAAATACCCATTTTTCAGGTATGTTCCCACTATAAGGAAGAAACAGGAATCAACATCCTCTGCCTTGCTTGGGAAACCCTAGAGCGAGTGCACAAGAACCATAAGCTTTGTTTCTGTAACTAATCCTTTACAGGCCTTCACACCTATTCCTTCCTTCACCCCCACCTGAAGACTGGGAATATACCATGAGAATACCTGTTATGCTGCAGTTATGAATTCTCATTCCATTCACAATCTTCTTACCTGTGGAATCTTGTAGAGTGTTAAGATGGTTGCCATATAGAGAGATGTTTCAGACTCGAGGCCCCCAATGACAGCTATCAGGTTCTTCTGAATGCCACACTTGTAGTTGGGGACAGTTTTCTTATGGCGAGAGATGAGGTTCAACGTATTCTGATAAGTCATCTTTGCACTAAAGTAGCTGTCATATATCTGGAACCCCAAGGTGATGTTGGATAAAATCTTGGGGTTTTCATTTATCTCATTCACAGCAAACACCAAGGATAAGACATGCTGATAGTTCTTTGGCACTGTGCTAAAGCAAGAGAGAGATTATGTATATGACTGACTTTCTATCTTCTGCTGGTACTATTTCTTTCAGATTGATTTGCACAATACAGAATCACAGTGATATTAAGGATGTGAGGAGAGAGCCATTCAACACAAAGGGAGGAAACATAGACAAGACTAATCCTGAGGATTAGTCAATGGATTTCCCCACTTCTCGTCTTTTGTTGTTACAGAAGCTTATACATGAGAATTTGTCAAAATTTCAGTGTAAATTTATCCTTATATACTTGTGTTTGTATGAATTTTGCATAATAGACACAGTTTTACAGCACTCTTTGTTTGTTGTTTTTAATAAAAGATGAATTCATATTGACCCTGCAACATGTCATTTGCATTTTTGCACACGTTATTTGGCTGGAGACGTGCATTGCAAAATTCAGAAAAATGTGAATTATTCTTAGCAAGTGTGTATAAGATAGGTCATAACTCCTCCCCCATCCTTGTTTACAGTCAGCTCAGAAGATTGCCCTGCCTGTTATTGACTGTTAGTCTCCCCGTCTTCAGTCCTACCAATCTCTCTGGGCACCTGCCACCACTGAATCGATTGCTTTTTCAACACAATGTTGCTTTCTGTTGTCTAGTTTTTTTCTTAACATGAGACTTTTTTACCCAGAGGAAGAAAAATATCCTTACGCATATTCATCAGGATGCTTTTCCTTTGGCTTCTCCTTGAAGTGTAGTTCAGTGAAGGAGGGTGAGAACAGCTGTGAAGTGATACCACCAATGATGAAATGCCCAGGCTGATAATATTGGTGTTGGACATGGATGGGATTAGTCACACAGTGCAAAGCAGGATGTACCAAAAACAGAGGAAGCACTATGAGTAGCACCAACAAGAGCAACACTAACATCCTGAGCTGAAAATTCATACCTCTTAACAATTAAGCCCCTGTTTCAGCTTAAACTCATTAGCATCCTCCACTGTCAGCCTACATTAAAATTTGGCAGCTCTTGGCTGTGGGTATAAACAGCAGATTAGCTCTTGTTGGCACTGGGTGGTCTTTATGTACATTCTGAAGTTTCACCCTGGCATATGCTTGTGGACATCAAGGTGCCATGTGGATATTGCCAAAGGAAGGCTGAATCACAGTGGTTTCAGATAACTACATGCTTCACAGTAATTATCATAGTCTATAGTCTCTGGAGCATTGAAAACTATTTGGCATCATGCGCAGCATAAACACCTAGCAAATTATGTTTTCCCTGGCTTTTCAGTAGAGTGTGAGACTCGTAATTTCAGCATCATGGGTTTGAAACCCATGTTGGGCAAAATATGTTTCTGTTTAGAAAGGCCACAGTACAAGTCACAATAGTGATGAAACCCACATAGTCCAAGATATAATGGAACAGAGTGAATGTCCCTTTATTATAATGAAGTACAATTTCTGGAGTCAGTGAGTGCATGTTGAAATCTGGGAACACCTAAGAAATTGCCTGCCAGAGAGCACAGATCCATTTTAAAATCTTGTAGCAGGAAAGAACAGTGGAATAGATAAATCTTCCCCTTTCTATTTCTTCATCAATCAGATGAAAAGAGGGAAGCAGAAAAAAAGATGCCAAAATCAGTTTGACACCCTTAAAGGACTTAAGAAACCATAACTACAATAAGAAAAATGTTATATTTACTCAATTATAACATAGGGGATCTGCAACCAAACCAAATTCACATAATTAGTCAAATCAAAAAATAGTCTGGGCAGAGAAATTCTCTAAGTCAGGAAGGATCAATGACATACTAACTGGGCTTTTTGTGATTATTCTGATGGGAGTGAGGACAAGACATAAATGGAAGAAACATTACTATTATTTGTGCTAACTTGGATGTGCTACAAGGCAAAGAACCAATATGTTAGTATGGGCACAATCTAGCTCAGATGATAATGTTCCCTGACCTTTTGGCAAAATTAACCAAACCCAAGGCAAGACCCAATAGAGGCAGTGGCCATGCCTTTCATAGCCTACCTGCCACAAAGGAAAGCCAAGAGCCCATGCTGGAGAACAGCTATAGCTCAGTGGATGAGAAGGTCCAAGGTTGTTCCCAGTCAGTGTAGACCAGGCATAGGCAAACTCGGCTATTTCATGGGAGAACTAATACGCAAAATCGTTTTAGCACAGTATTTAGTCACTCTAGATCTGAGTGTTACTGCTGGTTGACTGAGAATAAAAACCAACCAATCAAGGTAATCATTAGCTAAGACCTTAGCTCAAAGAGAAAAAGAGCTTTATATTGGGTTTGTACTCCAGTGCTACTGCTTGCATCTACTTTGTCACTAGGTGGCTGCAGTAGCTTCGAGTACCAATTTCCAGGAATGGGAAACCTTGACAAGTCCACATTTGGCGGCATGGTTTAAGAACATATGGAATTTGGCTATTGCTGAAAAAATTACGTATAAATTGTATGCATCCAGGGGGAATGGAGGACCAAGATAATTTCTGATGGGATTTTATTTCCTGTGCTTTGGACTTGCTCAATAGTCACCATCCATGCTAGTTTCAGTAATATGGATGTATTGATTTATAGTGGTGTGTTACCGTTTCTTTTTCTTATTATTTATTTTTTGTTTCCTGTCTATATGGTATGATGCAATGCTGTCAGCAAAAAAACATAAAAAAGTAAATGTTCCACAGTGCCAAAGTATTAAAATAAAAATAAAAATCTGAAATATATTACAGGGTCCCAAGTCACTTAATCCTTTTTCCATAGAAGTATGTAGAATAATAACACAATAAATGAAGCCACAGATATTGATTTTATTAGGTGTTTTTGTTGTTCAACTCACACTTTGCAACAATCATGTTGGATTTAGGGGGAATGAGCCATTTCTGTCATAAAATAATTAGAAACTCAGCATTAGTCTCTACTATAATTTAATTAATTAATTTTTCATAAATGAAAACAGAATCTGTTCTGCTGTTTATATTTTTTTTCGTATTAGATGTTCTCTGTTATTTAACTCAGGTCTCACCAGAATGATGTAGCATTTGGGGGGAAAGATGCAGCCCAATAATCCAGCACTGGAAGCCAGGATGGAGAAGATCTCCACAGCTACCATGTACTTTCCTCGTGTGCTCAGGTAAGTAGGAACAAAGGAGATCCAAACACTGCAAAATACCAGCATGCTGAAGGTGATGAACTTGGCTTCATTAAAAGTGTCGGGTAATTTCCGGGCTAGGAAGGCCACAATGAAGCTGACAATGGCCAGGAAGCCCATGTAGCCTAAAACACAATAGAACAAGAGGACAGACCCTTCATTACATAACAATATGATTTCTTCAGCTGATGAGTGCATATCCAAATCTGGGAATGGGGGAGAGGTTGCCAGCCACAGAGCACAGACCCATACTTGAATAATGGAGCAAGAGAGGACAGTGGAATAAGCCAGTCTTTTCCCCAACCAGTTCCTCATCCTGGATCCTGGTTTCGTAGCCATGAATGCCAAAACTACAGAGATGGTTTTGGCCAAGATGCTAGACAGGGACACAGAGAAGATGATACCAAAAGCAGTTTGTCGGAGAAGGCAGATTGCCTCAGTAGGCTTTCCAAGGAACAGCAAGGAGCAGAGGAAACACAGGAGGAGGGAAGTGAGAAGAATATAGGTGAGGCTTCTGTTGTTGGCTTTGACTATGGTAGTGTCCCGGTGCTTAATAAAGATGACCAGCACCAGAACTGTGACCAGAGACAACAAGAGTGCAGAGATAGTTGAAATAATGGCTAAAGTTTCATCAAAAGCAAGGAAGTTTGGAATCTTAGGGATGCATTGATTCTGCCCTCTGTTTGGGTAACGATCCTCTTGGCAACTGACACAAGTTTCTTGTTCTGAAAATGTAAATTAATTATGATCAGCTAAGAACAATCAAGACTGTTCTCAGGATTCAGAACTGTCTTATCAGGAAGTGATCTTTCCTCATTTATTTTAAGCAAGGAAAGTTTTAAAATGTTTTTGGCCAAGAGCTTTAAAGATACAAGCATTGTATCTGGATATTTCTATATTAATGATATTTTCTTTTGGTGTGATTTTTGGACCACTTCCACCTAATATAAATTTTATATATATATACAGTGGTACCTCGGGTTACATACACTTCGGGTTACATACGCTTCAGCTTACACACTCCGCTAACCCAGAAATAGTGCTTCAGGTTAAGAACTTTGCTTCAGGATGAGAACAGAAATCGGGCTCCGGTGGTGTGGCAGCAGCAGGAGGCCCCATTAGCTAAAGTGGTGCTTCAGGTTAAGAACAGTTTCATGTTAAGAACGGACCTCCGGAACGAATTAAGTACTTAGTCCGAGGTACCACTGTATATATATTCATTCTTTACCACCCATAATATCATTCAACGTTCACAAGGTGGTTTATAATTTAAAAATAATAACTAGTCCTAAGAACTGAAATGTGGGTACTTCAAAAGTTTGGGAGAAATACTGGTTACCATACTTTTACGTGTATAACACGCCCCCATGTATGACACGCCCCCTATTTCTGGGGACTCAAATTTAAGAAAATGGTGGGGAGATTCCCCAAAGTTGTTGAGCTTTTTGGGTGGAGGATTGTACAGGGTTGTTGAGCTTCTTTTTGTCCCCTGCCCCAATCAACCAATCAACAACAGCCCATGCTGCAGCCACCAATAACAATCACCAACTTGCGGCAGCAACCAATCCCACATCCCCACAATACACTACCCATGTATAAGACGACCCCTAATTTTGAACATAATTTTTGAATATACAAGGAAAAGTACGGTAATTTGTTGACAGTCTTCTCTATCTCCCAAAACAACCTCCTTCTTAAGGAAGATAACTCTACTGTTTCCTCCCAATGTAGAACTTTTATTTTGTTCCAGACCCTCTCATCCCATGTTACATTTTCCGTTCATGGAAATACAGCTCTACATTCATTCCACTAATCTGATGTATGAAAATTATTTTGCTTTAAACATATTTTACCAAAATACATGCTTAATAAAGGATATCAGTATTGCTGTACCCTCACATTACCATAGCTGCTTGTGTTTTGTGGAGCACTGATGGACAGATTGAGAGGAAGGAACGGCCAAGGGATGGATGAATGATATTATTCTGTATCTGAGGTGGGGAGGGGAGGTTAAGCAAATATTTTTAATAAATGGTATATGTACTAAACACATATCCTACCCATCTCATTTGAGATCATTCCTTCTGCACATCGAACACAATCATAGCAGCAAAATTTCTTTCCTTCCTTCTTTTTCTTTCCGTAACCAGGATGGCAGATGTCATTACATAAGGAAAGCGGTGGCACCTACCCAAAGATACAGGAACAGTTTAGCCTTTTTAGAATGCTTGCAGAATTTATCTAATATCAGATGATCTGCTAATAAAAAAAGGAAGTCAAATGGAATGGAATATAAGATCCTCACATTCACATGTGGCACATAAAGTGGAAGCAAATGCTAAAATAGAAATGGTCTCCTGGCTTATTAGATGACCATCTCCTTTTCTCAGAAAGGCAGTTCTTTGCCGTTCCCTACCTGAGTCAGTCCCCTGTGCCATTTGATTCCCTCTTCATTAAAGATGATCTCTTTGTTAGGAGGAGCCCAAGGTTCCAGTCTTCCCACGTTGATTTTGACATAGGAGTTATTTGGGAAAGTGACCAGGTTTGTAATATCAAATCCACCTACTAATTCTCCATGTTCGTTAAATGTAATTTCATCTCCAGCACTGTTGTTGAAGGAGATCCTCTGAAGAACTGAGTGCAGCTAGGTGGAGAGATAGACAGAACCAAAGTGCTGTTAAGATACTGAAGCAGGGGTCAGCAAGGTTTATCTTGCCTGGGCCGGGTCGGTCCTGTGGAGATCCCTCCATGGACCAGATCGCAAGTGTGCGTGCCTGCGATTTCCAGCACTGCGGAAGTGTGTCTCCATGCTGCACTGTGCCAGTTTAGCGCAGCAAGCGAGCAGGCAACTCAGTTTGGGGACCCATGGGCCTCAGGTTGCTGACCCCTGTACTGAAGTACAGTGGTACCTCAGGTTAGATACGCTTCAGGTTACAGACGCTTCAGGTTACAGACTCCGCTAACCCAGAAATAGTGCTTCAGGTTAAGAACTTTGCTTCAGGATGAGAACAACGTGCTCCAGCGGCATGACGGCAGCAGGAGACCCCATTAGCTAAAGTGGTGCTTCAGGTTAAGAACAATTTCAGGTTAAGAACGGACCTCCAGAATGAATTAAGTACTTAACCCGAGGTACCACTGTATTTCCCCTGCATTTATTCATATAATTTCTTTCACAAATTCAGGTTATTATTTTTCTAGGAGACCAAGTATTTATGAATTCAAGACTTTTACCATTACTAATAGAAAGCATGCTATTTTAGTTACTAGTTATAGGGAAAGTGTAGGAAATCATTAGGAAAAGTGTGCCATGAGTGGACTCGTTATTGTTTAATGCGGCTTTCTATAGAAAGCTTAAATAAATGTTAGTTGGCTTTAAAACAACAACATTCATTCATGGTGCTAATGCTGAGATAACACTAAGCATGAATCCATGGAGGGGAAATTGGTCATTGGCCTTTGGCTACTGCATGACACACACTGTACTATAGTCAGGTATTGGCAATAGAGTTTGGCCAGTGAAGAAACATTACCTGCCAGGGCTCTACATTCAAAGGAGACAATCTGTCTGTGGCCTCCATTGTTCTGTGGTTGGATCTAGCTGATTTCAAGATATGTAGGTCGGAGGAAAACAATACAAACTGAAAGCCTTCGCAGATGATTTAGTTTTAACATTGCAGGAGCCAGAATCTAGCACAAAAAGAGTCCTAGAATTAATCTATGAGTTTGGTCGGGTGGCGGGATTCAAGTTGAATAAACAAAAAACTAAGGTCCTGGCAAAAAACTTGACTTCTTCAGAAATAGAGGGGTTTCAGAAGGAAACGGAATTAAATGTGGTTAAAAAAGTGAAGTACCTGGGGGTCAATTTGACTGGGAAAAATTTGAATTTGTTTAAAGATAATTATGAAAAATGTTGGTCTGAAATTAAAAAGGACTTAGAAATTTGGTCGAGATTGAAACTTTCCTTGTTGGGAAGAATCGCAGCTGTAAAGATGAATGTATTGCCTAAGATGTTGTTTTTGTTCCAAACCCTGCAGATTGTGGACAGAGTGGAATGTTTTGGAAAGTGGCAGAAGGACATTATGAAGTTTGTCTGGCAGGGCAAAAAGCCCCGGATAAAATTTAAAATTCTAACAGATGCAAAAGAAAGAGGGGGATTTGCCCTGCCGGACTTAAGGTTATATTACGAAGCTGCGTCCTTCTGCTGGATGAAGGATTGGTTTTTACTAGAAAACACTGATGTCCTAGATCTGGAAGGGTTTAACAATGCGTTTGGGTGGCATGCATATTTGTGGTACGACAAGGTAAAGGTTCATAAATTGTTTAAAAACCATATTGTCAGGAAAGCCTTGTTCAATGTCTGGACCAAATACAAAGACTTACTTGAAAACAAGACTCCGAGGTGGCTATCACCAATGGAGGCTAAGGCCCCAAAAATGCTTAACATGGAGAGTGGCTGGGCAAAATATTGCGAGATAATAGAAAGAGTCGGAGACAATTGGAAGTTGAAGAGTTTAGAAAAATTAAAAGATAAGGTGCGAGACTGGCTACATTATGCCCAAATACAAGAAACTTTTAAAAAGGACAAAAAAATTGGCTTCCAGGTGGAGAAATCGAAATTAGAGACAGAACTACTTGAACCTAAGACGAAAGTGCTTTCAGGAATGTATAACTTGTTGCTTAAATGGAATACTCAAGACGAGACTGTCAAATCAGCTATGATAAAATGGGCTCAAGATATTGGGTACAACATTATGTTTGAAGACTGGGAAAGGTTATGGACCACCGGTATGAAATTTACGGCTTGTACTGCCCTGAAAGAAAACATTATGAAAATGATATACAGGTGGTACATGACCCCAGTCAAACTTGCAAAGATATATCATTTGTCTGATAATAAATGTTGGAAATGTAAGGAAGCTGAAGGAACTTTTTTTCACCTCTGGTGGACATGCCCGAAGGTGAAGGCTTTTTGGGAAATGATTTATAATGAGTTGAAAAAGGTATTTAAGTATACCTTTCACAAGAAACCAGAAGCCTTCCTCCTGGGCATTGTGAGCCAGAGAGTGTTAAAAAAGGACAGAACTTTTTTTCTCTATGCAACTACTGCAGCAAGAATCCTTATAGCTAAATACTGGAAGGCACAGGAGTTACCCACGCTGGAAGAGTGGCATACGCAACTGATGGACTACATGGAATTGGCCGAAATGACAGGCAGAATCCGGGACCTGGGAGAAGAGGTAGTGGAAGAGGACTGGAAAAAATTTAAGGACTATCTACAAAAGCATTATAAGTTATATGAATGTTGAGAATTTGCTAAGTCATTGGAAAAACATGCTTCAGTATGGAGATTTGAAGATGGGGAAAATTAAGTTATGATTGTGAAAAGTTCAAAATTTAGAGCAATGTTCCTAATATTAGGGATGGAGGATAGAAAGAAGTTACTTAACAATAAGTACTCTAAAGCTAAAATATAATCAGATGAAAGTACAAAAACGCATGAAACAAGGTATTAATTTGCTGTAATTTTATTTTTTATAAAGAATGCAGGGCGCTGGGGATGTGGGGAAGTCCAGTGGATCATGAAAAATGTTTGAAATTTTCTTTTTTCTATCTTTCTTTCTTTATTCTGTAAAACCGCTTTTTGTTGAGTTACTGACGATGTATTTGACCCTGGAAAAAAAGCAATAAAAAATATTAAAAAAAAAAAAAAAAAAAAAAAACAAGATATGTAAGGCATGTGCCACAACATACACAGCATTATAGACACTGTAGCTGTGGCCAGTCATGCTCATTTCAAACAGAGGCGCAGGGAGGCTTTCCAGCCTCTCCTCTCCAGTACATCTGTTAGAGATGAATGTAGAGTTTGAAAATGAACAACTGAATGCTTGTTTCCAAAAAGTTTTGATAAAACCATCTTCCTCTGACCAAGAAGGGTAGATATTCCTTACAAATTCTTGGAACTCTTGTAGCTGCCTTGAATGAATTGAGACGGAGATAGCACCTTCAAAAATCTGAATATCAATTTCAATTAACTTTTGAAAGTGATGTACTGTGAAGTCTATTTGTGCTGTGGTAATCCACACTTTTGTTTCCGAGAACAGCTTTTTATACTGAAGAAATAGTCCTTTCATTACTCTGGTTATCCCTATAATGTTAGCCAGCCACATGACTGATGCAGTTTCTCCGTATATAACAACAGCACTGATATTCCCTACACTGAGAATTGGCAAAATACTGTGTGTGTCCTTGATAAGTTCATCCAACTTGTCGATACGCAGACGTTCTGGAGCTCTTTCTGTGAATGCTGAACAAATGCCATTCCTTGAGAGTATTGGCTCCATGATATGCAAAAAATTTTCCCCATCCTCATCATCTTTGGCAATGAGCCCGATCCATTTCCAGTTGAAATGGAGAAGTAACTGGACAATTCCCTGGTACTGAACGCCTTCATTGGGAACCAAACGGTAAAAGGAAGGAACATTGATTGGATCATTCACTGCTGGTTGAAATGAGCCATATGAAAACTGCAAGAAGAGGGGAATTTCAAGAAATTGAAATTGGGAACAGGAGAAACATATTGCCCCCTCGCTCAATCTAGTCTCATTTAGTTACTTCTTTTGATTTCTTACTTTAAACCTTGTGATCAATGACCGCAATATATACTAAAACATTTTTAAAATGAATAAAGCACAAGTCATTCAACACTGTTTTGATAAACAGACAGGTGTGAGAGAAACATGTAGTCATTAGCTAATACAAACCAAGTTTACCTCTACATATATTTGTTTGCTTAAACATGTTATTTTAAAAATCTGTAAACTAAAAATACAACCTAAAACTAATAAACCTGTATAAAAATATTAAAAACATTCAGGTGATTCATACACATAAAACAGTTTCCAATCCTATATGCCTCTTATTTTCCTCTTTTTAATTGCGGGGAGGGGGGATGCTTCAAAGGTTTTCAGTAACAGTAAGATAAAATGTGTGTGTCTCACCTGCTTGGAATCCTAGGAAGAAGAAAACAAATTAATGTTTTCTGGTATGACTGTAACATAGCATGTAACAAAACATGTAACATATCTTTCAAGCCACAAAACAAGCAAAGTTTTCAAGTTGGATAGGTTATTGTAACTCCTCTCTAACATGGCAGCTGAACGGACATGTTCAATGAGCCAGAATGAATAAAACCCAAAACTCCTGAGTGTCTAGGACTCTAGAATAATTAGTTTCTGTGTTCCCAGTTGGAAACTGAATAGGTAGAGAAACCTATTTCTCCACCTGAGGCAAAATGGGATCTGTGGTCTCTTGCCCCTTGCCACCCCACCCCGCTACTTCTGCCACCACCGCAACCCCCACCACTTCTGCTGAAGCACCCTGGCTCACACAGCAATGACACACACTGGAACAACCCCCTTTCTCTAGGTAGAGGGGGATGTTCTGGCAGTGGTGGAAGCAATGGGGTGGGCAAAGCACAGATTCTTCTGCTTCTGCCACCTAAGGTGGGTGCTACACCCCCACTTCATGGACTCTGGGCAGAGAACAATAGTTTGGCACTAATGTCATTATACATTGACAATCTATGAAAGGGCTTTCTATGCTCAGTAAAATGGACTCAGTAAACTGAAGAGTAAACAGGAAGCAGAGCACTGAGCACTTATGCATTTAAAAATAGTTCAGCAGCCTGGATCAAACATGCTGGCAGCAGATTCACCACCCTTGATATTTGTCAGATAGTCTTTTCATTCTTGTCACCTAAAGATAGAAAGTTTAGTAAAGAAATGCTGGAGTGTTTTGTTTGTTTTTTTCAATTATTGGACAGATATCAGCCTTGTATTTCTACATGAATCTACACATTTCATTATGTAGCAACTAGAGTCCTGGTGGTCAGTGAAGAATTTTTATCCACCTAGCTAATATGACACACACACACACACACACACACACACACACACAATCTCTCTCTCTCTCTCTCTCTCTCTCTCTCTCTCTCTCTCTCTCTCTCTCTCTATCTATCTCTCTCTCTCTCCAAGCTAATATATATTACAGTCCAGTCTCTGGGCAAAATAACACATTAGCCATATGCAATAAAAATACATATACCAACATTCAACAACAGTCAACTTCAACCAGCTGTAGCCAGCAATATGTATTAAGCTGGATATTAGTAGCCAGCAAAGACTTCAGTAAGCATGTAGTTCTGATGTAGGCCTCTCATACCTGTGGAATCTTGAAAAGACCTAAGATGTCTGCCATGCGTGAGGAGGTAACAGAGGCAAGCCCCCCAATGATTCCTATTACATTTTGATGGATGCCGCATTTGTAATTGGGTACAAACTGATGTGATTTGAAAAGCAGGTCCAGGGTGGTTCGGTAGGTCATTCTTGGGTCAGAGTAGCTGTCATAGATGTGGAACCCAAGAGTAACATTGGGCAAGATCTTGGGATTCTCGTTGATCTTGTCAATAGCAAAGACCAAGGCCAGGATGTGCTGGTAGAACTTGGTCAAAACACTGCAAAGAAAGTCACATGCTATTTCATGTGAGTATTAAACAGTGCACAAAGTCATTTTAACACATTATTTGTGCACTCTACATCTTGAAGATTCAGCTTCCTGACATGAAGGGAAAACACAGCCTGCATAACTAAGTTATAGTGGTAAGAATGTAAAATTTAGTGTGGCTACCTTTTCCTGTATTCCTTTAGATTTGCACATCATAACTAAGGGAATATTTGTATTTGTCTTAAAATCAAATTATAATTTTCATTTCTCCAAACACATAGATTCTGTAGACATCTCCATATTTTGGCAAAGGCATTTCCCTAAATTTCACTTTCATAGTCTTCAGAATTTCTATCCATTGTGCTCCTTATCACTATAAAGTATGAAGTCAAAACATCTGCTAATATTTGTAGAGCCGTTGCAAGAACTTAGAAAGACAACAGGTGTTTGATGGTTTGGTGCTCTAGTTCCTGGCTCACCTTAGCGGACTGTTTCATACCACAAAGGGTCTAAAAGTCTAATGCCTTTTAGGATACTTTAATGAGTCTGTTTCTATTATATAATACATCCCTTTGCCAGTTTCCATATGTTGTTGCATATATCAGAAAAAATATAGAATGAAATTAAGACAATATGTGCATTTATTCACAGCATTGTGCTGCTTATTGTTGGAAATATATTTACGAGTGAAGGTGTGGAAAATGCAAAACAATTGCTTTTTAATGGGTTGCTGCTGTGCCTGCCAGTTTACTTTTAGAATTGACTCTTTCAAGAAAGGAATGATTGAAACTCTTTTCCCCACCTTGAATACTGTTCCCTCCTATAATGATTAAATCACCTCCCTAGTTTTACTACCTTGAATTATTTGAATGCTTAACAGACACAGTAATTATCTTTTGAAATCATCATTTGCTGGAAATAATATTAACAGAATAAAATAAAATGGTAGTTTTGGAAGGCAAATAGAAATAAATGTGATACCAACCGCTATAAACACCAGTATCCATCAATGTTAGTGCAGAAATCTCAGAGAGGACATTCTACAATATAGTCCATCGCTCTTTTTTAAAAATTGAAAATACTCTTTGCTTATAAATAACTAAAAGTACATATGTCATCTTCATTCTACTATCAGGGTTAAGCAGACTAATTAAGAGAGGTAAGTATATTCATTCCCACAGCAATTCAAAACAACTATTACAGAAAAGAAACAACGAAGAACCAGGCAGTCCTAAGCTCCTTTCTAAAGAGGCAGTTTTGTCTGGCAGCTAAGCTCTGTGGTGTTAGGACCTTGTGGGTCTCAGTACAGCAGGCAGCGTTGGTGTCAGTATTGAAAAGTTTCATGTAAAAGTATTACACTGAAAGTCACCATGTTGTGAGGAGCACAAAACTCTAAGCAACTCTGGAAGAGTCTGGTTGGGGAAGGGAAATGGAAAAGGGGGGGGGGAAGAGGTGTGGAAGAATGTCTAAACCACAAGAAGATAACGAAACAAAGAATATTATTATCAGCATACGAAAAGCACATGAGTTAGGTGCAGTCAAATATATATATATATATAAACAACTACATTAAATTAAAGGTCATTCCCTTACAGTGGGATTTCAATCAAGACCTGAGAAGGGTGTTCTTTGAAGAGGACTGGGCGGGAAATATAATAGATATGAGACACCATCCCACCAATCAGGAGATCACCTGGCTCATACCACTCGTGTGGAATATGTACAGGAACTTTTCTGGTGCATTTCAGCTCATGCACTTTGCAAACCATATTTGAAAGCAGCAGGAGATGCAGAAAAAACATCCCGGCGACAAATTTGCCTCTGCATATAGACTCTCCTACCTCCTTTCTACAGCATCATTGCTAACATCAGCCACATTTGAATTAGATGACTTGAAGTGGCAGCTGGTTTTAAAAAATCACCTCTTTAAAGAGACAGTCGTCCACTTCATTCCTAACCTCCACTGTGTTATATAGGAATGCTTTGAATGCAAGTGAAGAAACACCAGCATGGAGCTTACTCTATATGAATAAAGAAGAGAAGCTGACAGCACCCTGCCTCTCTTTTAGCCCTAATATTAGATGTCTATGGAATACTGCATAGCTTCCCCCACCACTACCAACTTCAGGTCAGCCACTGGAGTTTGAGCAGGAGAATTGATTATAGTCATTTTGATAATTACAGGGAGATAATACTACTTCTGCAATGTTTTTGAAATCTGTGCCACATTCTGAGTTGCAGAAGCAAACATATTTATCAGATCGAAAAGTCATGAATTTCTGTTGATTCAATCCACTGCTTCATAATGTCCCAGAAAGAATACTATTGAAATTCAAACTGATTCACAGGGATGAAATGAATGTGAAGGAAGAGTGTGTTTAGAATATTGCCAAGTCACCCCGATCTCCATGAGTTGTGCAAGATTCCAGAGGCTGCATGCACACTTTACTCAGGGCCTATGTTTCTTTTTAGACAATGAAGCACAGCGGAGACTGTGTTGTTTTTATTATACATGGTCTATTTGCACACATATGCAACTTGAGCCTAGGTAGGGGGAATCCCAGCATTAAATGCCAAGAAGGTCGCTTGCTTCTCCCACAGGCACAGCAGGCTTGAGTTTAGAAACAGAAAAATCATCCATGCTCTCTATTTCTTGGTTATGTTCTGTCATGGTCAGTCCACATGGTACTACTGGTCCCACTTCTCCTTCTTTACTCCACTATCCAAACTGAAGTCCTACATCCTTTTTGTCTCTGCTCACTAAGACACACTGAATGAGAAAGTGATTCACTTCCTAAATACCTCCAGTGGTTCCAGGAAAGCACAACCAGAGAGTTTGTCAGCATTTATTTGAATGGTCCTATGTTATCCCATCCCACAGGGGCATGGGTGGTGCTGTGATCTAAACCACTGAGCCTCTTGGGCTTGCTGATCGATCATAAGGCCAGCAGTTCAAATCTGCATGGTGGGGTGAGCTCCTGTTTCTTTGTGCCAGCTCCTGCAAACCTAGCAGTTGAAAAGCATAGCAGATTGAGTAAATAAATAGGCACCACTGCAGTGGGAAAATAAAAGGCCTTTCCATGCACTCTGGCCCTAATCACGGTGTCCTGTGCACTAGAAGCAGTTTAGTCATGCTAGCCACATGACCTGGAAAGCTATCTGCGGAAAGAAGCCAGCACCATCAACCTGAAAGCAGTTTCCAATATTCCTGTGATTCTCTTCCTCTCCTCTCTCTGCAACTTCCTATGCTCTCCCCAAATTTGCTCAAGAAAGGCACTTAGAGCTTCTTGAGCAGAAATGTGGGGCACTCATGGGGATGCAGGAGAAGATAGGAAGGGGAAGTAATTTTTCTGGTAATTTCTTGGTGAGGAAACTACAGGGAAAGTGATATCTGACCACGTAGTCCACATAGCCTAAGAACCAACAGGACTACAAATTCTTCTGTGATTTATATCTTTCTTTGTGCCAACTGCTCTCTGTTGTTAAGGTCAGGCCTCAACATGATAGTGTAGGAATTAGGGGGGAAATGCATCCTAGTAACCCAGCACCAGAAGCAAAGATGGAGAAGATCTCCACAGCCACCATGTATTTTCCTCTGGTGCTCAGGTAAGTTGGAATAAAGGAGAGCCAAACACTGCAAAAGACCAGCATGCTGAAGGTGATCATCTTGGCTTCATTGAAGATGTCAGGCAAGTTCCTGGCTAAGAAGGCCACAGTGAAGCTGACAGTGACCAGGAAGCCCATGTAACCCAGAACACAGTAGAACTTGGGAACTGACCTTTCATTACAAAGAATTATGATTTCTTTGGTCATTGAGTGCATGTCCACATCTGGGAATGGGGGAGAGGTTGCCAGCCAAAGACCACAGAGCCCTACTTGAACAATGGAGCAGGAAAAGACAATGGAATAAGCCAGTTCTTTGCCTACCCATTTCCTCATATTGGTTCCTGGTCTGGTAGCCATGAATGCCCAAACCACCAGTATGGTTTTGGCTAAGATGCTGGAGAGGGCCACAGAGAAGACAATGCCAAAAGCAGTTTGTTGGAGAATGCAGGTCACCTTATTAGCTTGTCCAATGAACAACAAAGGACAGAGGAAACACAAAAGGGTGGCTTTGAGGAGGCTATAGGTGAGGCTTCTGTTGTTGACTTTGACAATGGCTGTATCACAATGCTTAATGAAGATGCCAAGCACCAGAATTGTGATTAGAGAGAATAAAAGTGCAGAGGAAGCTGAAATGAGGGCCAAGGTTTCATCAAAGGTTAGGAAATTTGGAGTCTTGGGAATACATAGATCTTGGCCTTTGTTTGGGTACTGATATGCTGGGCAACTGACATGTTTCCATGTCTGAAAACAAACAAACAATGCATGACAATTTGAAGGAACCCAAACTATTCTCATGAATTTCCTCATCAGGAGTGCACTTAGCATGGTATTTTCTACCTTCAAACCTTTAAATCTTCCAGTCCTCTACAAAGCACTTGCACAGAAATTGGAATGCTAATTTGGGCAGTGATGGCAAACAGTGGCAGCCATCTAAGAAGCAAAAAACAGCGGGCTCATTTCGTGGCAGCAGTGGTGAGAGAAGGAGCTGGAGCATGTTCCACAGACCCAGATCCTGCATAGTGGTTCTTCCAGTCACCTGGTGGTTTTGCCTGCATTTTTTGTGGGTCAGTAGTCTAAGAAGCAAACACATGTGGTTTTGGTTGATGGGACCAGACATGATGGGATTGGAGCTGGAAAAGTTTTTGTTCCCTGTTTAAACACTCATTTCAATGACATTATTTGTGTCTCTAAACTAGAGAATAATCTAATGTCTATATCCTGTTTAGTAAGGAAGCTTACTGGTGGTTTGTATGTACTACAAGATCAGGAAGGTTTTACCACGGAATCTGGTGAAGAAGCCCAGGCTAAAATTTGCTTAAGACAATCTGCAACAGTTTCTAGAGGAATGGAGTCACCCATAAAAATTTCCACAACATCTAGTGGGATTTTATTACCTTTCCTCAATATGCACCATCCATGCCAGCTTGGGTAATATGGATGTCTTGATTTATATTGGTGTGTTGTTGTTGTTGTTGTTGTTGTTGTTGTTGTTGTTGTTCTTCTTCTTCTTCTTCTTCTTCTTCTTCTTCTTCTTCTTCTTCTTCTTCTTCTTCTTTGTTTATTTCTGTTGAATATGCTATGATGCAAGACTGCACTTTGGGGTTGGTTATTACGTCAATAAAGAAAAAAAGATAATGTGGATTCCTTGGGAAGCACTGGAAGAGCTATGTGGGTGGTTAGTAACAGAAGCAGAAACAGATCCCTAGGATGCCCCTCCAGCTGAGGAAATTCCCCAAGCCTGCCTATTGGAAGAGCCAGCCCTCAGAAGAAAAGAATCCCAAACAAAATGTTTCACAATGCCAAAGCATAACAAAAAACAAAAACACACCCAACAACCCTGAAATAGTTTCATTCCGTCAAATAGCCCCACCTCACTGATACCTCTTTCAAAATCCTATATAGAATAGCAATAACATAAATGAAGCCACATATGTTGTTTATATTAACTACATTTTGCTGTTCAGCTCTGGCTTTGCAGCAGTCATGTTGGATCCAGGGGGGAAGAATATTTCCTTTTTTTCCATAAATGAAAACAGAATCAGTTCTGCTGTTTATATTTTTTTCCGTATTAGATTTTCTCTGTTATTTAACTCAGGTCTCACCAGAATGATGTAGCATTTTGGGGAAAAGATGCAACCCAATAATCCAGCACTGGAAGCCAAGATGGAAAAGATCTCCACAGCTACCATGTACTTTCCTCGTGTGCTCAGATAAGTAGGAACAAAGGAGATCCAAACACTGCAAAATAACAGCATGCTGAAGGTGATGAACTTGGCTTCATTAAAAGTGTCAGGTAATTTCCGGGCTAGGAAGGCCACAATGAAGCTGACAATGGCCAGGAAGCCCATGTAACCCAAAACACAATAGAACATGGGAACTGACCCTTCATTACATAACAATATGATTTCTTCAGGTGATGAGTGCATATCCAAATCTGGGAATGGGGGAGAGGTTGCCAGCCACAGAGCACAGATCACTACTTGAACAACAGAGCAAGAGAGGACAGTGGAATAAGCCAGTCTTTTCCCCACCCAGTTCCTCATCCTGGATCCTGGTTTAGTAGCCATGAATGCCAAAACTACAGATATGGTTTTGGCCAAGATGCTAGACAGGGACACAGAGAAGATAATACCAAAAGCAGTTTGTTGGAGAAGGCAGGTTGCCTCAGTAGGCTTTCCAAGGAACATCAAGGAGCAGAGGAAACACAGGAGGAGGGAAGTGAGGAGAATATAGGTGAGGCTTCTGTTGTTGGCTTTGACTATGGCAGTATCCCGGTGCTTAATGAAGATGACCAGCACCAGAACTGTGACCAGAGACAACAAGAGTGCAGAGATAGTTGAAATAATGGCTAAAGTTTCATCAAAAGCAAGGAAGTTTGGAATCTTAGGGATGCATTGATTCTGCCCTCTGTTTGGGTAACGATCCTCTTGGCAACTGACACAAGTTTCTTCATCTGAGAATGTAAATTAATTATGATAAACTAAGAACAATCAATATTGTTTTCAGGGTTAAGAACAATCTTATCACAAAATGAGCTAACAACCATTTTTTAAGAAAGGAAAGCTTAAAAATTTTATGGTGAAGAGCCTTAAAATCACTGCCAAGCATTGTATCTGGATATGTCTATATTAATTTTCATTTGGTATATTTTCTCAAACCCTTCCACCTCTCTTGGAATTCATTAATTAATTTTATACCAACCTTCAGCCAAAGATCACAAGACGGGAAAAACACTCGTTAATTTCTTGACATTCTTCTCCACCTCCCCATCCAACATCCTTCTTAAGGACGATGCCTCTACTTCTATTCCCTCCCAATCTAGAACTTCTCTTGTGTTCCACATCCTTTCACTTTTCCTTGTGGTATCAAATGGTTTGTGGACATCCTGCTCAACATTTATACCACCATTCTGATGTATGAAAAGTTCTTTGCTTTAAACATATTTGAAAGCTCTTCGAAGGAAAACTCTGTATGTGATCTAAAGCCTATTTTACTTTAAACATCTTTGAAAGCTATAATTTCTTCAACTTTTTTTTTTTAAAAAAAGAAAACTCTGTATGTGACCAAAATACATGCTTTATAAAAAATAAAAGTACTGCTGTACCCTAACATAACTACAGGTGTATGCATTTTGTGCTGGGGTTTTTTTGGAGGGATGGAGAGCAATGGCCAGCCAAGAGACACATGAGCAGTATTACTCTGTATCATAAAAAGCAAGGGTGATTAAGTAAATCTTTTAAATAACTGGTATATGTACTATACACATATCCTACCCGCCTCAGTTGAGATCATTCCTTCTGGACATCGAACACAATCATAGCAGCAAAATTTCTTTCCCTCCTTCTTTTTCTTCCCAGAACCAGGGTGGCAGATGTCATTACATATTGAATGGGGTGGCACCTATCCAAAGAAGAAGGACTAGTTTACTATTTCAAAGATTCCTGCAAAATCTATCTACTGTTACATGATATCAGGAGGCCAGTGAAATGGAATGTAAGATCCTTGCATCCACAGGTGGCACACACAGTGGAAGATAGTGCTTGGTTTGGTAGCCATGAATGCCAAAACCATGGGTATAGTTTTGTCCAAGATGCTAGGCAACATATTGAGGTGAGATGGCCATTTCTTTTCCTTGGCGCGACAGTGTAGTTATTTCTAACCCCCACCTGAGTCAACCCTCTGTACCACTTGATTCTTCATAAATAGTCATCCTTGTATTAGGTTCCAGCTTTCCCTTGTTGATTTTGACACATTTGCCGTAACCTACCTGAGTCAATCCTCTGTGCCATTTGATTCTCTCTTCATTAAAGGTGATCTTTTGGTTAGGATAATCCTGAGGTTCCAGTCTTCCCACGTTGATTCTGACATAGGAGTTATTTGGGAAAGTGACCAGGTTTGTAATATCAAATCCACCTACTAATTCTCCATGTTCATTAAATGTAATTTCATCTCCCGCACTGTTGTTGAAGGAGATCCTCTGAAGAACTGAGTGCAGCTAGGTGGAGAGATAGACAGAACCAAAGTGTTCAGGTGATGATATATAATCACTATTAGTTTTCTTCCACAAATTTAGATTACTTTTGTTTAGGAAACAAAGTATTTATGAATTCAAGACTTTTACCATTACTAATAGAAAACATGCCATTTTAGTTACTAGTTATGGACAAAGCGTAGCAAATGACTAAGAAAAGAGAAGAAAAATGGAGACATTATTGTTTTGTTTTCTCTGGAAAGCTTGAATAAATATTAGCCAGACTTAAAAGAACAACATTGATGCTTGGTATCAATGCAAGAGAACATTAAATGAGAATTCATGGATGAGAAATAGGTCCTTGGCATTTGGCTACTGCATGACACACCACTCTCTTATAGTCTTGGCTAGCTGGGAGTCATGGTTTTGACGCATTTCAGCGTCCCTGGGCCCTGGGCTCAGCCTGTTTGGTTCCTGCAAGCACAGATCTCCTGCCCTCCCGCCTTCTAATGTCAGGCATTCAAAACCGTGCTCTGGACCTCAGTTGGTCACCTTTTGAAGGGGCCTGGTAGGAATTTTCTCTCTCGGCAGATTGGTACCAGTCACTTGGTTTTTCACCTGCCTCATAGCAGATCGTCACAACTTTATACGGTTTGGTGGTTAGGCATTGGAAAATGCTTTGTGTGTTGGAGGGGAGGTTGTGGCCATCACCTACCCCTCCCCTTGAAGGGTATTTCTTTAAAGGAATCTGGTGTTCGTGGTTCCTGTCCGATGCCCAGGTGGTGGCTAAGGCCGTGGCAGTACCCTCTGGTAACTCTAGGGGAGAGCTTCCAGTTGATTTGCATCAACAAGCTCCCCCTACAGGTTGTTAACCCTCATGTGACTTCCTGCAGGGCGGGCAGGAGTCAAGTGTAGTTGGGTCGAATCCAATGCCTAAGCCAATACCACTCACATTATGTAACCAATAAAGTTGTGGCCTTTTTTAGCCCTTTAACTTAAAATACTTGTGTCCATGTGTCTTATTTCATCATAAAGCAGGGGATGGGGCCATGACTCGCAGTTGGGTTTGGCCAGTGAGGAAACATTACCTGCCAGGGTTCTACATTCAAAGGAGACCATGTTTGCATGCCCTCCACTGTTCTGTATTTGGATCTAACTGACATCAAGATATGGAAGGCATGTGCCACAGCATACACAGCGTTATGGACATTGTAGCTGTGGCCGGTCATGCTCATTTCAAACAGAGGTGTAGGGAGGCTCTCCAGCTTCTCATCTCCAGTACATGTATTAGAGATGAATGCAGAGGTTGAAAATGAACAACCAAATGCTTGTGTCCAAAAATTGTTCATAAAACCATCTTCCTCTGACCAAGAAAGGTCGATATTCCTTACAAATTCTTGGAACGCTTGTAATTCCCTGGAATGAATTGAGAAGGAGATAGAACCTTCAAAAAATTGAATATCAATTTCAAATAACATTTGAAAGTTATGTAATGTGAAGTCAATCTGTGCTGTGGTAATCCACACTTTTGTTGCAGAGAACACCTTTTTATTTTGAAGAAATATTCCTTTCATTACTTTGGTTATTCCTATAATGTTAGCCAACGTTATAATTGATGAGGTATCTCCATAGATAACAACAGCGTTGATATTGCCTGCACTGATAATTGGCAAAACCTCCTTTGCGATCTTGATAATTCCATCTGCATTCCTGATATGCATATGTTCTGGAAGCATTATTGTGAATGCTGAACAGATTCCATTCCTGGAGAGTATTGGATCCATCATCTGCAAAAATTGTTCTCCACCTTCACCATTTTCGGTAATGAGCCCAACCCATTTCCAGTTGAAATGGAGAAGTAACTGCACAATTCCCTGGTACTGAAGGCCTTCGTTGGGAACCATGCGATAAAAGGAGGGACCATTGATTGGATCATTCATTGGTGGTGGAAATGAGCCGTATGAAAACTGCAAGAAGAGGGGAATGTCCAGACAATTGAAACTGGAAACAGGGGAAACATATTGCCTCTTCACTCATTCTAGTCTCATTTATTTAATTATTTTCATTTCTTGCTTTAAACCTTGTTTTTTCATTTAATCTCTAAGCAATTTGTGATCAAATACCACAATATATAGTATGCAAAAACATTTTAAAAATAAATAAAGCACAAGTTATTTCCAAACAGATAGGTGTAAGCAAAATCAGAAATATAGCCTAAAAATGTAAACAGGTATGAAAATTCAGGTGCTTCATACACATAAAACAGTTTCCAATCCTATGTGCTTCTTATTTTTCTCACTTTAATTGCAGTGGGGAAAACCAAAACACTTTGTACCTTTTCAGTAACAGTAATATACTGTTTCCGCTACTTTGAAAGCCAGAAAGAAGAAAATGAATTAATGTTTCTTGGTTTGTCTTTTTTTAAAAAGCCAGAATAAAATAAAGCAATGTATCCAAACTGGATAGTTAATTGCATCTCCCCTTTAATATGGTAGCTGAATGGACATTTTTATGAGCCAGAATGAAGAAAATATAGAACTTCTGGGCATCTAGGACTCTCTGGCTCTGCGTAGAGAGCAATATATTGGCAATAATGGCATTATACATTGACAATCCCCCTTCATGGATCACTGCCTTGCCGTGGCGAAGGGGCTTGAAGAACTCAGAGAAGCTATGAACTATGCCGAGCAGGGCACCCAAGATGAACAGGTCATATTGGAGAGTTTTGATCCACCTGGAGGAGGAACCGGCAAGCCACTCCAGTATCTCTGCCAAGAAAACTCCATGGACAAAGACAACAGGCATATAAAAGTTATGACGCTGGAAGATGAGCCCCTCAGGTCGGAAAGTGTCCAACATGCTACTGGGGAAGAGCGGAGGACAAGTACAAGTAGATCCAGAGCTGATGAAGCGGCAGGGCTAAAGCCGAAAGGACGTTCAGTTGCGGATATGCCTGGAAGCGAAAGGAAAGTCCAATGCTGTAAAGAAAAATATTGCATAGGAACCTGGAATGTAAGAACCATGAACCTGGGTAAGTTGGATGTGGTCAAAAATGAGATGGCAAGAATAAATATTGACATCCTGGGCATCAGTGAACTAAAATGGACGGGAATGGGCGAATTTAGTTCGGATGACCATCATATCTACTACTGTGGGCAAGAAACCCGCAAAAGAAATGGAGTGGCGCTCATAGTCAACAAAAGAGTGCCAAAAGCAGTACTGGGATGCAATCTCAAAAATGATAGAATGATCTTGATACGAATCCAAGGCAGACCTTTTAACATAACAGTAATCCAAGTTTATGCACCAACTACTGGTGCGGAAGAAACTGAAATTGACCAATTCTATGAAGACTTACAACACCTTATAGAAGTGACACCAAAGAAGGATGTTCTTCTCATTATAGGGGATTGGAATGCTAAAGTAGGGAATCAAGAGATAAAAGGAACAACTGGCAAGTTTGGCCTTGGAGAGCAAAACGAAGAAGGGCAAAGGCTAGTAGAGTTCTGTCAAGAGAACAAGCTGGTCATCACAAACACTCTTTTCCAACAACACAAGAGATGACTCTACACGTGGACATCACCAGATGGGCAGTATCGAAATCAGATTGATTATATTCTCTGCAGCCAAAGATGGAGAAGCTCTATACAGTCAGCAAAAACAAGACCTGGAGCTGACTGTGGCTCAGATCATCAGCTTCTTATAGCAAAAATCAAGCTTAAACTGAAGAAAGTAGGAAAAACCACTGGGCCGGTAAGATACAATCTAAGTCAAATCCCTTATGAATACACAGTGGAAGTGAGGAACAGGTTTAAGGATTTAGATTTGCTGGACAGAGTGCCTGAAGAACTACGGATGGAGGCAACATTATACAGGAGGCAGCAACGAAAACCATCCCAATGAAAAGGAAATGCAAGAAAGCAAAGTGGCTGTCCAAAGAGGCCTTACAAATAGTGGGGGAGAGAAGGCAAGCAAAATGTGAGGGAGATAGAGAAAGATACAGGAAATTGAATGCAGATTTCCAAAAAATAGCAAGGAGAGATAAGAAGGCTTTCTTAAACGAGCAATGCAAAGAAATAGAGGAAAACAACAGAATGGGAAGAACCAGAGATCTGTTCAAGAAAATTGGAGATATGAAAGGAACATTTCGTTCAAAGATTACTATAATAAAGGACAAAAGTGGTAAGGACCTAACAGAAGCAGAAGACATCAAGAAGAGGTGGCAAGAATACACAGAGGAATTATACCAGAAAGATATGGATGTCTCGCACACCCCAGGTAGTGGGGTTGCTGACCTTGAGCCAGACATCCTGGAGAGTGAAGTTAAATGGGCCTTAGAAAGCACTGCAAATAACAAGGCCAGTGGAAGTGATGGTATTCCAGCTGAACTATTTAAATTTTTAAAAGATGATGCTGTTAAGGTGCTACACTCAATATGCCAGCAAGTTTGGAAAACTTAGCAGTGGCCAGAGGATTGGAGAAGATCAGTCTACATCCCAATCCCAAAGAAGGGCAGTGCCAAAGAATGCTCCAACTACCGCACAATTGCACTCATTTCACATGCTAGCAAGGTTATGCTTAAAATTCTACAAGGAAGGCTCCAGCAGTATGTGGACCGAGAACTCCCAGAAGTGCAAGCTGGATTTAGAAGAGGCAGAGGAACCAGAGACCAAATTGCAAACATGCGCTGGATTATGGAGAAAGCTAGAGAGTTCCAGAAAGACATCTACTTCTGCTTCATTGACTATGCAAAAGCCTTTGACTGTGTCGACCACAGCAAACTATGGCAAGTTCTTAAAGAAATGGGAGTGCCTGATCACCTCATCTGTCTCCTGAGAAATCTCTATGTGGGACAAGAAGCTACAGTTAGAACTGGATATGGAACAACTGATTGGTTCAAAATTGGGAAAGGAGTACGACAAGGCTGTATTTTGTCTCCCTGCTTATTTAACTTATATGCAGAATTCATCATGCGAAAGGTTGGGCTGGATGAATCCCTAGCCGGAATTAAGATTGCTGGAAGAAATATCAACAACCTCAGATATGCAGATGACACAACCTTGATGGCAGAAAGTGAGGAGGAATTAAAGAACCTTTTATTGAGGGTGAAAGAAGAGAGCGCAAAATATGGTCTGAAGCTCAACATCAAAAAAACGAAGTTCATGGCCACTGGTCCCATCACCTCCTGGCAAATAGAAGGAGAAGAAATGGAGGCAGTGAGAGATTTTACTTTCTTGGGCTCCATGATCACTGCAGATGGTGACAGCAGCCACGAAATTAAGAGACGCCTGCTTCTTGGGAGGAAAGCAATGGCAAACCTAGACAGCATCTTAAAAAGTAGAGACATCACCTTGCCAACAAAGGTCCGTATAGTAAAAGCTATGGTTTTCCCAGTAGTGATGTATGGAAGTGAGAGCTGGACCATAAAGAAGGCTGATTGCCGAAGAATTGATGCTTTTGAATTATGGTGCTGGAGGAGACTCTTGGGAGTCCCATGGACTGCAAGAAGAACAAACCGATCCATTCTTAAGGAAATCAGCCCTGAATGCTCACTGGAAGGACAGATCGTGAAGCTGAGGCTCCAATACTTTGGCCAACTCATGAGAAGAGAAGACTCCCTGGAAAAGACCCTGATGTTGGGAAAGATGGAGGGCACAAGGAGAAGGGGACGACAGAGGACGAGATGGTTGGATAGTGTCTTCGAAGCTACAAACATGAGTCTGACCAAACTGCGGGAGGCAGTGAAAGACAGAAGTGCCTGGCGTGCTCTGGTCCATGGGGTCACAAAGAGTCGGACACGGCTAAACGACTAAACAACAACAACAACACATTGACAATCTATGGAAGGGCTTGCTATGGTCAGTAAACAGGACTGGAAACAGGAAACAACATACTGATAACCAGCACTCAGGTGTTTAAAAATAGTTTGCTGGCCGAGATCCAGCAGATTCACCACCCTTCATGTTTGTCATGTATTCTTTGAAATCTTGTCACCTAAACATAGCAAGTACAGCAAAGAAATGCTCAAGTGCTTCATTTTATACTGAACAGCCTTCAGCCTTGTATTTCTGCATGAATCCTCACATTTCCTAATGTGGTAACTATAGTCCTGTGGTTGCTGGAGAATATTTTATACCTAGCTAATATTGTATCTATTTAGCTTCAGTCCATTTATTGGGCATAATAACCCCGTAGCCACATACCTAGGGTTAACTAGCATTGCTTTACAGAGACTGAATTGTTTTAATGTCTTTCTTAATATTCTATATGTGTATGGCTACCCCATAAAAAGGCTGAGATTCTTCTTTGCTTAGGAAATAGGCACTGAATGAGCACTTTTTGTGCAACTGAAACTTCAGAGAGCTGCCAAATTATTACTCACTAAGCATATACTAGGCATACAATGATAAATGACATTTGCACAAAAACTAGTTTGGGGCCTGGGAGTGAACCAATTCCACTGAATAGAGAAAGCAATTCCTCGCCACCCATTATAAATCTTTATGGTTAACTTAAACTGTTTATCATCTTCTCTACATATAGTAGTCTGGGAAAAGAACTTATGTTGTTAGTTTGTACATATTGTATTTCTGGATTACGGTGGAATATTTTAGGATGTATTTGTATAATGGCATGTTGAAATGATTAATTTCCCCCCAGAAAAGAACTTGAATAATTTACAAAAGATTGAATAGAGCCAGAAGCAACACAAGCAAGACTACACTGGTGAGTGCACCAGTTGGATCAAATTTACCACTCAAAGATGCAATTGAAAAGCATCTTATTTATTGTGATTTAAACAAACAAACCCTTCTCCCACAGCAATTTTCGGGGAATGTGGGGTTGAAAGCATCTTTCAGATAAATAAATCCTGCAGCTAATTGCAGACTGTGTCCCTGTGAATCTTTTTCAGCTTGGTGTGTTGAAACTATGCTGTATTGAGAAGATGCCAGCAAGATCTAAAACTCTCCTGTTAATTTTGTAGCATATTAAATTGTGCAATTCTGGGCTCAAACTGCATACATTTTCCTGTCAATTGATGATAATAATAATAATAATAATAATAATAATAATAATAATAATAATAATAATTTATTTATACCCCGCCCATCTGGCTGGGCTTCCCCAGCCACTCTGGGCGGCTTCCAAAAGAATATTAAAATACATCAAACATTAAAAGCTTCCCTAAACAGGGCTGCCTTCAGATGTCTTCTAAAAGCCTGGTAGTTTTTGTTCTCTTTGACATCTGGTGGGAGGGTGTTCCACAGGGAAGGCGCCACTACTGAGAAGGCCCTCTGCCTGGTTCTCTGTAACTTAGCTTCTCGCAGTGAGGGAACTGCCAGAAGGCCCTTGGTGCTGGACCTCAGTGTCCGGGTAGAATGATAATAAGATAATAAATTTATAATTAACTGGGATGGACTTGCATCCTTTAAAATATGGAAATAATTACTGCCCTGTTGCATAAGTCTGTGATAATCTCTGAATGATTTGTAAATATAAAAAGCAAATTGCCAGTACATTAGATATAATCAACTTTTTGGGGAGAGGGGTGTAATCTAGAACTAAATAAAGTACATATACTAACATCAAACCACTGTCAACTTCAACCTACTGTAGCCAGTAATCTATATCAAACTGTAAATCAGAAAACATAGTTCTGATTCAGGTTGCTCTTACTTTTTGGATACCCATATTATAACACAATGCAGTTCCACATATTTCAGGCGCTTCTATATTTCTCCATTAACTAGTACTCAAATAGCTACTGGAAAGAACGGGGAAAATTATGCAGCAGATTAAGGGAAGTCCCCATTGCCCTCACTTTCAGATCTTACCTGCGGAATCTTGAAAAGACCTAAGATATCTGCCATGCGTGAGGAGGTAACAGAGGCAAGCCCCCCAATGACTCCTATTACATTTTGATGGATGCCACATTTGTAATTGGGGACAAACTGATGTGATTTAAAAAGCAGGCCCAGGGTGGTTTGGTAGGTCATTCTTGAGTTAGAGTAGCTGTCAGAGATGTGGAACCCAAGAGTAACATTGGGCAAGATCTTGGGATTGTCGTTGATCTTGTCAACAGCAAAGACCAAGGCCAGGATGTGCTGGTAGAACTTGGTCATAACACTGCAAAGAAAGTCACTTGCTATTTCATGTGAGTATTAAACAGTGCACAAAGTCATTTTAACACATTATTTGTCCGCTCTACACCTGAAGATTCAGCTTCCTGACATGAAGGGAAAACACAGCCTGCATAATAAGTTATAGTGGTAAGAATGTAAAATGTATTGTGGCTACCTTTTCCTGTATTCCTTTAGATTTGCACATCATAACTAAAGGAATATTTGTATTTGTCTTGAAATCAAATTATAATCTTCATTTCTCCAAACACATAGATTCTGAAGACATCTCCATAGATTGGCAAAGGCATTTCCCTAAATTTCACTTTCTTAGTCTTCAGAATTTCTATTTATTGTGTTGTTTATCACTATAAAGTTCCAATTGCAAACATCCACTGAAGTTTGTAAAACCATTGCAACAAATTAGAAAGATAACAATTGTTTGTCTAATGGTTTGGTGCCCTAGTCCCTTAGCAGACTATTTCATAACAGAAATTGTCTAAAAGTCAAATGCCTATTAGGATGCATTAATGAGTCTCTTTCTGTTATATAAATATATCCCTTTACCTGTTACCACATGCTGTTGGAGGTATCAGAAAAATATAGAATGCAATTCAGACAATGTGTTCATTTCTTCACAGTGTTGTGCTTTTTATTGTTGGAAATACATTTAAAACTGAAGTCATGTAAAGAAGAACAGTTTCTATTTAATGGCTTGCTGCTGTGGTTTCCTTTTCAAATTTGATATCACCCGTTGATTATAAATAACTCAAGGTACATAAGTCACCATCATTCCACTAACAGGGATAAGCAGACTAATGAAAATTGAACAAATGCACAATAGCTAAGTGAGGCAAGGATATTCATTCGCACAGCAATTCAAAACAAATCCTACAGAAAATCAGCAACAAAGAAATAGGAAGTCCGAAGCCTGTTGCTAAAGAGGTGGTTTTGCCTGAAAGCTAAGCTCTCTGGTGTTAGGTGCTGGCATATCTCAACACAGCAGGCCGAGTTGGTGTCACTATTGCAAAGTTTCATCTAGAAGGATTACACTGAAAATCTATGTGGAGCACAAAACACTAAGCCACTCTGGAAGAGTCTGAGTGGAAAGGGGAAATAGAAAAGGGGGAAAAAATAAGGGGGATGGAAGGACGTCTAAACAACATGAAGATAACGAAACAAAGAATATAGTTATCATCATATGAAAAACACATGAATTTGATGCAGTCAAATATATATATATAAACAACTACATTAAATTAAAGGCCATTTCCTTACAATGGGATTTCAATCAAACCCTGAGAAGGGTGTTGTTTGAAGAGGACTGGGCGGGAAATATAATGGATAAGAGACACCATCCCACCAATGAGGAGATCACCTGGCTCATACCACTCGTGTGGAATATTTACAGGATCATTTTTGGTGCATTTCTGCGCATGCACTTTGCAAACCACGCTTGAAAGCAGTAGGAGATGCAGAGAAAACATCCTGATGACAAATCTTCCTCCACAGAAAAATTCTCCTACTTCCTTTCTACAGCATCAATTCTAACATTAGCCACACTTGAATAAGATGACATAAGGTGGTAGCTGATTTTAACAAATCAGCTCTTTAAAGAATGCTTTGAATTCTAGGGAAGAAACACCAACTTGGTGCTTACTCCATACAAACAGAGAAGAGAAGCTGATCAAAATGACGGCATCTGCCTCTCTATTAATCATAATCTTGGAGGTCTGTGGAATACTACAGAGCTTTTCCCACCAGCTACTACCTTCAGGACAGCCACTAGTGCTTTGATCAGGTTAATGGATTATAGTGATTTTGATAATTACAAGGAGATAATCACACACCTGCAATGTTTTTGAAATCTACGATGCATCCTGAGTTGCAAAAGCAAACCTATTTGTCAGATCCAAAGGTCATGCATTTCCCTTGATTCAAGCTGATGTTCCATAATGTCAGAAAAAGGAATACTATTGAAATTCAAAGAGACCCACAGGGATGACATGAATGTGAAGGAAGAGTGTGATTAGAATATTGCTATGTTACCCCAATCTCCATGAGTGGTGCAAGATTCCAGGGGCTGTAGTTCACACTTTATCCAGGGCCTGTGTTTCTTTTTAGACAATGATGCACAGCGCAGACTGTGGTGTTTTTATTATACATGGTTTATTTGCACATATAAGCAACTTTAGTCTAGGTGGAGAGGAATCCCAGCATTAAATGCCACAAACATAGGAACCAACTCCTAGGGACCTATGGGGACTTTGCCCCCCTCTAAAAGATTTGAGGGGGCTGGGCCTCACCAAAATTGATGGACATTGCCATTCAAATATTGTGCATGCACCACATTATGTGATGAATTATGTGGGGCGGGGCTTACCTGCCCACCCGCCAATATTTTATTCAAGTTGGCAAACCTAGCCACAAAGTTCCCTCGCTTTTCCCACAGGCACATCAGGCTTGAGTCTAAAAACAGGAAAATCTGCCGTGCTTTCTGTTTCTTTGTTATAGCCTGCCACAGTCACCCCAGATGCTCCTGGCCCCACTTCTCCTTTATTGCCCCACTAACTGATTGAAAACTATACCATCCCAGCCTAAATCATCCATGGTCCTTTGTTGTCCTGTCCCTCTCCTGCACTGTGGTAGGAGGGTGTTCAGACCCCCTCAGAGCATTGCACCTCCCTCCCTAAGCTGGGCACAAGCTTAACAGGCTTTGGAAAGGAGGTTCTAAGGCTCTGACACAATCCAGAAGCCCTCCTGCCTCCTTCTCAAAACTGGGTGGGGGGGAGCAGAGGTGTTGTGGGGTAGGGCATCAGGCAGGAAGGAGAATCAGTCAGTCAGTCTCCTACATTCCCCTGGAAAGACACGTTCAGAGCTCAGTTTGCTCTAGATCGTTTCACAGGTTTTCCAGCCTGATGCCTGTGCTTCCTTCTTGACAGACCCAGACATCTAACTTGACCTGGAGAGATTCATAGCTGTTCCAACTCAACTTGACAGATAGGGGTAAATTTCTTTCTCTGTCCCTCTCATAATACTAGAACTCAGGACTATCCAATGCAGGTGAATATTAGATTTAGAAAGACAAAGGATAGTACTTAGCCTCAAAAAAAACCCCTACCAAACCAAGGAATTGGCTCCCAGAAGATGTAGTAATGGCCACCAACTTGGCTTTAAAAGAGAATTGGACAAATGCATGGCATATAAAGCTATCAATGGCTACTACCTTTGAAGGTAACATGCTTTTAATACCAGTTGCTGGGATTCAGAAGTGGGGAGAGTGCTGTCTATTCTTGGGCTTCCCTTGAGCATTTAGTTGGCCATTGTGAGAGCAGAAAACTGAACTATACAGACATTCTTGGTCTGATCCAGCAGTGCTCTTCTTGTAGATTCATGTGCTAAACCGGGGTCAGCAAACTTTTTCAGCAGAGGGCCAATCCACTGTCCCACAGACCTTGTGTACTATTATTATTATTATTTTTTGGCGGGGGAGGAATTAATGAATTCCTATGCCCCACAGATAACCCAGAGATGCATTTTAAATAAAAGCACATTTTACTCATGTAAAAACACTAGGCAGCCCCCACAAATGTAAAAACACACTAATTCCGTGGGCCAGATTGAGAAGGCGATTGGGCTGCATCCGGCCCCCAGGCCTTAGTTTGCCTACCCATGTGCTAAACAATGTGGCAAATTAAATGCAGGAAAATGCATCAAGATAAAAAAACGTAGACTACTTGAGCAGAAGTTCATATCCTTCTCTTCTTTCTTTTATTCTCCGTGCCAGAAATGATTTGACAGTGACTAAATAAATAAAACAATTTCATGGCATCAAAACAAAAATCAAATTTCTGAAATATTTTATTTCCTTCAAAATGTCCAATACACTTTATGCCTCTCTCTTTTATTTCCATGAAGGTGATCTAGTACATAATTAGGAAGACAAAGACTTGTAATTTATCTCTTCTTTCGTATAAGTTGTTCTCTGTTGTTCAACTCAGGTCTCACCAGAATAATATAGCATTTTGGGAAAAAGATACAACCCAACAACCCAGCACTGGAAGCCAAGATGGAAAAGATCTCCACAGCCACCATGTATTTTCCACTTGTGCTCAGGTAGGTCGGGACAAATGATTGCCAAACACTGCAGAAGACCAGCATGCTGAAGGTGATGAACTTGGCTTCATTGAAGCTGTCAGGCAACTTCCTGGCTAGGAAAGCTACAGTGAAGCTGATGGTGGCCAGGAAGCCCATATAGCCCAAGACACAGTAGAACATTAGGATGGACCCTTCATTACATAAGAATACAATTTGATGAGTAATTGTGTGTGTATCCAAATCTGGGAATGGTGGAGAGGTTGTCAACCAGAGAGCACAGATTCCCCCTTGAATATGGGAGCAGGATAGAATAATAGAATAAGCCAGTCGTTTCCCCACCCATTTCCTCATCCTGGATCCTGGCTTGGTAGCCATGAATGCCAAAACCACAGAAATGGTTTTGGCCAAGATGCTAGAGAGGGCCACAGAGAAGATGATGCCAAAAGCTGTTTGTCGCAGAAGGCAGGTTCCCTCATTAGGCATTCCGATGAACAGCAAAGAGCAGAGGAAACACAACAGAAGGGAGTTGAGGAGAATGTAGGTGAGGCTTCTGTTGTTGGCTTTGACTATGGCAGTGTCTCGATATTTAATGAAGATGCCAAGCACCAGAACTGTGATCAGGGACAACAAAACTGCAGAGGAGGTTAGAACAATAGCCAAAGTGTCATCAAAAGCTAGAAAATTTGGAATCTTAGGAATGCATTGATCCTGACCTTTGTTTAGATATTGATCATCTGGACACGTAACACAAGTTTCCATGTCTGGGGAAAACAGAATATTTGAAGTTTAATTCAAAGAGCATTGCCCTCAAGAAGATCTAGATATGTCTGGCTAGCCTACAATCACCATGGAAGGTTGCAAAAACTTCTGAACATTTCTTGTTTCAAAAAAGACATGCCAGAGAT